GTTGGTAAAAGGTATTCCATCTAAATGGAAACCAAAAGAAAGGGGACATAGCTAAATTTAAACAAAATAGACCTTAAAACAAAGACTGTAATAAGACAAAGAAGTACATTATATAATGAGAAATGGGTCAATATAACAAGAAAATATAACACATTTATGCACCCAACACAGAAGCACCTAAATATATAAACATTAACAGACCTGAAGAAGAGAGAAATACACAGCAATATAATAATAGTAGGGACATCATACCCCACTTATCAGAGATAGATCATCCAGACAAATTATCATCAGGGAAAGCTCAGCCTTAACACATTAAATGGACTTAACAGATATATATAGAATATTCCCTCGGTTAGATCACATGCTATGCCACAAAACAAGTCTTAATAAATTTAAGAAGACTGTGATTGGAAAAGATGCTCAATGTGATTTCAGCGGTATAAAACTAAAACCAATTAACAGAAGAAACTGGAAAAGTCACAAATAGATAGACATCAAAAATGCTACTCAATGACCAATGGGTGAAATTAGAAATCAAAGGAGAATTCAAAAGATACCTAGAGACAAATGAAAATGGAAATATAATATACTGAAACTCATTAGATGCAGTAAAGGCAATTCAAGAGGGAAGTTCATGGCAATAATTTCCCTTAAGAAACAAGAAAAATCTCAAATATACATCTAACTTTATACCTGAAAGAACTAGGAAGGGAATAACAAACTTAGTAGAAGGAAATAACAAAAGATCATAGTGGAAATAAATGAAATAGAGACTAGAAAGACCAATACGATTAAGAGCTGGTTCTTTGAAAAGATAAAATTGATAAACCTTTAGCTATACTCACCAAGAAATAGAAGACTCAAGTAAATACAATCAGAAATGAAAGAGAAATTACAACTGATAACACAGACATAAAAGGATCTTGAAAAATTACTATGAACATCTACACACCAACAAACTGGACATGCTAGAAGAAATGGATGAATTCCTACAAACATACAACCAAGACAAAATCAGGAAGAAATAAAAAAACTGAATCAGTAATGAAAAAACCTCCTAACAAACAAAAGTCCAGGACCAGATGGCTTCATGAGTGAATTCTATGAAATATTTAAAGAAAAATTAGGGCAATACCTTCAGGTCCCCTCCCTCCTTGGGAGCATTATACTATTACTTTGCTACCACTCAGTAAGTCACTCAATAAACCTTGCTTTGCTGCCCACCAAAAAAGGAAAGAAAAGAAAAAAATTACTGGGGCACCTGGCTGGCTCAGTTGGTAAGCATGTGACTCTTGATCTCAGGGTCATGTGTTCAAGTCTCACACTGGACATAAAGCTTACTTAAATAAAAATAAAATCTAAAGAAAAACTAATGTGAATCCTTCTCAAATTCTTGGAATCTCCTTTTTCAAGGCCAGTATTACCATGACAACAAAACTAGACAAGGAAGCCACAAGAAAATTGACAGACCAATATCCCTGATGAACACAGATGCAAAAGTCCTCAACAAAATATTCACAAACTGACTTTAACAGTACATTAAAATGCTCATTCACCATGATCAAATGGGATTAGTTCCAGGAATGCAAGGACAGCTGAACTTCCACAAATCAATCACATGATCCACCACAGTAACAAAATGAAGGATCAGAATAATGATCATCTTAATAGATGCAGAAAAGGCGTTTAACAAAATTCAACATCCATTTATGATGATAAACAAAAAAACTTGTCAATAAAGGATAGGGGTCATGCACCTCAACGTGAAAAGGCTATATATGACAAGCCAACAGCTAACATCATTAATGGTGAAAAGCAGAAAGCTTTTCCTCTAAGATCAGAAACAAGACAAGGATGCCCACTCTCACCACTTTTATTCAATATTGTATTAGAAATCCTACCCAGAGCAATTAGGCTAGAAGAGGAACTAAAACACATCAAAACTGGAATGAAAGAAGTAAGACAGTCACTATTTACAGATGACATGGTACTATACATAGAAAATAAAGACTTCACCAGAAAAACTATTAGAATAAATTTAGACACGTTACAGAATACAAATCAATATATAAAACTCTGTTATGTTTCTATATACTAATAAATAATCAGAAAAGAAATTAAGAAAATTCCATTTGTAATTACATCAAAAAGAATAAAATAACTAGGAATAAATTTAATCAAGGAGACGAAAGACCTCTACACTGAAAACTACAGGACAATGATGAAAGAAATTGAAGAAGACATAAATAAATGGAAAAATAGTCTGTGCTTGTGAATTGGAAGAATATGAATGTAATATTAATAGGTCCATACTACCCAAAGCAATGTACAGTTTGGATGCAATCTTTATCAAAATTCCAATGGCATTTTTCACAGAAATAGAAAAACATGTATGGAATTCTAAAACATGTATGGAACCACAAAAGACCCCAAATAACCAAGGCAATCTTGAGAAAGAAGATCAAAGCTGGTAGCACACATCATCTTATTTCAAACTATATTACAAAGCTATACTAATGAAACAGTATGATACTGGCATAAAAACAGACTACAGATCAATGGAACAGAATAGAGAGCCCAGAAATTAAACCCATTTGGGCCATTAATTTACAACAAGGAGCCAGAAATATACAACGCGGAGAAGATAATCTCTTCAGTAAGTGGCATTGGGAAAACTGAACAGCCATATCCAAAGCCATAAAAAGAGAAACAATCACTATTATACACCATACAAAAAAATTAACTTGAAATGGATCAAGGATTTGAACATAAGCCCTGAAACCATAAAAATCCTAGAAGAAAACAACAAAGGTAATAAGCTCCTTGAGACTGCGTTTGGTGTCAAATCTAAAAAAATCATTGCTAAGACCAAAGGTAACAAAACCAGAATTAAGTAGGACTACATCAAACCAAAGAACTTCTACACAGCAAAGGAAATCAAAAAATTAAATGGCAACCTATTGAATGGGAAAAAATATTTACAAAGATAATTCTGAGAAGGTGTTAATGTCCAAAATATAAAAGGGCTCATGTAACTCAATAGCAAAATAAAATGAAACAAAAAAATCCAAACCATTTCATTGAAATGAGCAGAGGATCTGCATGAAAAGGCACTTAATGGTACTAATCTTCAGAGAAATGCAGATCAGAATCATCCGTTAGAATGGCTATGTTTTAAAAAGACAAGAAATAACAAGTGCTGGTGAGGATATGGAGAAAAGGGAATCCTTGTGCACTGTTGGTAGGAATGTAAATTAGTGCAGCCACTATAGTAAATCATGAGCATGTAATGTACAACATGATGTCTATAGTTACAACACTATACTGTGTATTTGAAAGTTGCTAAGAATGTTAAAAATTCTGTAAGAAAAATGTATATGTATGGTGATGGGTATTAACTAGACATATTGTGATCATTTTACAATGTATACAAATATGGAATCATAGTACACCTCAAACTAATATGATGTATGTAAGTTTTATCTCAATTTTTAAAAGTTAGACACGGTGAAGCTGGTAACTGGTGTTATTCAGAAAGCTGCAGATAGGACTCAAGGAGAGGCCATTTTCCGTTCCAGCATTTTCCCCAGGTTCTAAAGAGAGAAGACTGTTTTCATAAGAAGAAAAGGGCAACTCAGAAGGGCCGAGGATTAGGAGGAACACTAATGGAAGGGCTTTACAATGGAAGAGCTGATCTGACCTCCACAGTGACTGACATGTAAATGAGATAACAGTTCAGAGAGATGCAAGGGGCATGGTGGGTTCAGAAATTGACTATTTTCAGCTGCACTTAAAGATTCCACTACCCCCAAGCTTCCAGCTCAGGAACAGCAAATAAGTCTCATGTTATGAGTCAACTCCCAGCGGCTCCCTGTATGCAAGGTTTCAGTGTGATGCATTCATGATGTCAGACACATGCTGCATATTTCATATCACTGAACTAGCCTATTGATAGAAATATTTCAATAAGTAATAGGGTATGAGAAGAAAATGCCCTCCACATGCTGGAACACTCTGGCCAGTAGATTAGCCCCTGATAGAATGACTATATTTAAAAACTCTAGTACAACACTGACGTTAACTTCAGGGGCAAAAGCTCTCTGGTGATGTTCCACAGGCCTCTATCTTGTGTCCTGTCCCAGCCAAAACTTTTATCCATGACTTAGAGAAGGAGCATATAAACCTGAGAGAGGGATCCTCTCTGACTAATTTTGTAAAAACTGAAGATCTCCTTGCCCTTTTTTCTTCTGTGGCACTGGGGAGGAACCATAAATGCATCCTGAACTCAATACCTCAAAAAATATCACCAGGAAGGAAAGTTGTGGAGACAAGGATCAAGGCTGATGGGCCAGGCAGGTCTTGCCTTTCCTTGAAGGAACTGAAAGCCCACACAGAATGGCTACCTTCTGATATCCCAACCCCTCTGGCATAGGGAATCCTGGATGGCAGTGGTAGAGGAGTGGCAGGGCAGGGTCCACTGCTAGGTGATAACTCCATGGCCATGCCCCTAGGAGAGCCATCTCAAGATCAGGGTAGAGGGTTGTGTTCCTACTGGGCCCAGCATCCTAGTGTATCAGGATGCTCTCCACACTCTCCCTGCCCAAATGCCCACAAAGTGGCCAACAAGTTTGCAAAGAGGATCAGAAGTACCAAAACACTAGGGGGGAGAGCAGGTGCCGGATGAAAGCCACAGCCACGCAGCAGTGTCAAAGCCCAAGAGTGAACCACAGGCTATGTTTAAGGAGATGCCTTCCTGTGTTGCTGAGGATGTGTGCCCGTAGACAGCTCTCCCCGGAGGAGGAGAGAGACATGAGAGGAGACTGGTGTCACACAAGTCTATGGTTTCTCACAGCAGTCATAAAAGCTTCCTCAGCTTGCCACTTACCGTCCCTGTACTGCTGAAAGGGCGGGAACAGCATGTACCAAATCTTCCATAATAGTAAGCAAAGCAATTTCAAAGCAACAGCAGCATTTCTTTCTTTTTCCATACCTGCTAGTGCACTGACCAAGAAATAGGCTGTAGAAAAGAGCTTCTGGTTGCTGACTGCATCCTCCAGGCCTGGACACCCGCCCTGCACTCTGTACCCCACCAAGCATAGGAAAGCTGTGAGGTCCTGCTGCTGTGGGGGCTTCAGCTCCCCCAATGTTGCCAGTGGGGATGACAGGCCACTGACCACATCCTCACACTGCAGGGGGAAGAAAAAAGAGAAAGATCTAGTAAAGCCAGAGGCCAAGCTGAGCCTCTGCCCCATGACAAGCTGCTGCTTACCCTTCCACTATCTCCCAAGTAAAGAAAACCCTGTATTCTTTTCTGTTTTGAAATCACTAATCTCCCATAAGTAAACAGGCTTGCTCAGTACTATTCTTTCACAGAGAGGGGAGGAGGGATGCAGGAACTATGGATAGAACCTTTCAGGACAAGGCAGGTTCTGTCAGGAACAGGTGACTACATGCAGAACTAAGGAGGGGGGACATAAAAGCATTGTCCCATCATGGTTCTCCAGCTTTAAACTTGGCACACCAACCACCAAGCACATTCCCAGCCGGGCCCAAGGCAGCATCAGCCATCCACACTGGGCCACAGCGAGGGCCACCTCGGCCAGCTCAGCACCACCTAGCAAGCTCGCTTCCATCGAAACCCCCACATCAGATGCATTCATGGAAAAGCCCACCGGCCCCACCTGGGCAGCTTGCTCCCGCCACTGACAGGGCAGTTGATGTTCTTTCCAAAGGGTACTAGTCTGACATTTCCCTCTTGGAAGGAGCTATGTTAGGAAGTATAAGTCGGTGGGCTTTTTGAAACATCTGTGTTCTCGGGCTAGCACACCCTCCTGCGAGCTCCAGATCCTCCAGAACACCCAGATCTCCTGGACGGCTGGACTGTTTCTACAATTGCAGGTTCCATCACTGGTAGCTAAGCTCTTTTGCCACAATCCAGTTGCAAGAAGGAAAAATAGCATGAATGCTCCCCTGGAAACCATTAAGCATCGAATCAGAAAATCAGAGTTCAAAAACTCTGAATAATAGAATAACAAAACAAAACAAAAAACTGTGAGTCATCTTAATAGTGCCCCAGCCTTCTTAACAAAGGAGCACAAAGTCTGGCAGGTTGGCAGCTGGTGGGTACTTTACCACTTGTACAACTTATAGTTAAGGAACTCAACTTCTCCAGAAAATCCTTCTGCTACAAAACAGAAAACTACAAAGGCCTGCTTTTTAATCTATTGTAAGTAGAGTAGGTTGACTTATTGGACTCTACCACACAGCCCCCTTGTAGTGGGGTTGAATCGAGGCCCCTCAAACATAGGTTTACCTAGAACTCCAGAGTATGACCTTATTTGGAATAAGAGAAAGAGTTTTTGAAGATATAATGAAGTAAGGATCTCAACATGAGATACTCCTGGACTGGAGTGGGCCCCATATCCAATGGTGAGTGTCCTTTAATGGAAAAGGGGAGGACACGGACACAGGATGGAGGCGTGGGGAGACATGGAGCAGTGTGGCCACAGCCAGGGAGCATCAGGGGCCACCAAAGCTGGAAGAGGCAAGGTAGTGTTTTCCACCTGAGCCTGTGGGTGAAGAAAGGCCCTGCTGACATCCCAGCTCCAGACTTCCGACCTCCAAACCCAAATCTAACAGAATAAATTTTTGTGGTTCCAAGCCACAGAGTTTGTAGTAACTTGTTACAACAGCCCTTAGGGAACCAATCTACCCTTTGATTCCTTACATCAGGCACCTTTTTTCAGTTAGAACACTAAGGACCTGGCAGTAAGAAAAAAAAAGAAGCTTAAGGTTTAAAGGAGGTGGGGACATTTCATATACAATCTTATCCCAGCTCACGGCTTTATCCCAAGAGATCTAGTCTGTCCACTTCTGCAACCCCAGGTGGAACACTAGCCTGCGAGCTCCCTGGTCTTACCACTTGCTCCAGGGCCCTGAGTAGCTCTTCATCAGACAGGACGGCCTGGAGGACGTGGCTCAGCGCCGACTGCTGCTGCGCCGGCAGCTCTGCAAAGGGACGGAAGTTCCGCTCCAGGAGCAAAGTGGCTGTGAAAACAGAGAGCACCCGGCCTCATGATGGAACAAGGGACAGCAGGCTTTCTGTAGTCACTGTCCTCGGTTCTCATAGACACTTCCAGGAGCGGGGCCAGTCATGCAACTTGAGCCGGACCTCGAGCTAGCTACCGCCCTGCGTGTTCTCAATAACCAGAAGGAGGGGGACGAAAAGAGACAGAAAAGAGAGGGCACCCAGATTTGCTTCAGACTTCCTTTCCTCCCTAAACATTAAGTCTATTTTCTAGAAAAGTCTGATCAATTATTTAGACTCCTCTTTAGCATGATCTCTATAGAAGCAGGTTATCAAGGCGGAATTACTAACCTTCGGTACTTTTATAGGGCTTCACAGCCAAGCAAATCCAAAGCCATTATTTTCCTTGTCCTTTCTTCTAATAACATGCAGATTTCATCCTTTAATATTTAATGCTTGCTTCTCCAACTCTGGCACCCTGTTTTCATGGCAAACATAGCCATTTCACTTTTCCCACTCCTTATTCTTCACCCATCCTGGGGAACAGGCACACAGGATCTGCAGGATGCTTGAGGCGCTCTCCTTAAAATCTTTTTTTTTTTTTTTAAAGACACTGAAACACTTCTAGTAAATTAAGCCCAGTGGGGCTTTACAAGCAAGATTTGATAAACCACAGCTTTTATATGCAGGGATGCATACTCATACGAAAGGCACCACACCTCTGCTCATGGCAAATTCCAGCACACAGCTGTCAGCCCCATGGACAGAATAGGTCCCATCATTCCCTGATATATTCAAAAACTTCCCTATGAACACAGCTGTGTCTTTGCCACCCCAGCCTAGAGATGAGAGCTTTCTGGGTTGGGCTGGGGTCTGAGAGCACAAAGGCCAGGCTGCCTTCCATCCTACTCCTGCTTCACAGGCCCAGCCATCCCACTTCATCCCAGGCTGACTAGAATGGCCAGCTGACAGGGTGGATGGTGGGAAAGGAAATTATAAGGAAGCTGCAGCCCACGAAAAGGTCTCATCACTTCCCTGGAGCACAGTTCACGGCTGCGGGGCCACTCTGCTGTGTTCTAGCCCATGGCAGTGCTGAAGCAGCAGCTGGGAGTCGGACCCAATCATCAGCCTCAAGGAAGCAGAGGAGGGGCCTGCAGCCCTGCATAAAATGGGGGGACGCTGCATCTTAAGACGGCCTTCCTTGCCATGTCTTCCAACACTGGCACTTCTGCTAATAGAAACAGAAGCATCTTCTGGTTTGGGACTCACCGAAGCCCCACAGGTAAGAATCTTCTTACCCTCCCAGCCAGACTATATTCTGAGCTGCTCCTGGCTCTTTTTGCCAAGCTCTTTCCTGATTATTTGTTTCACATTTTTCCTGCCCATTTCCTCTTCTGCCATATCCTGCACTACCCCCTGGCCCATACCACCGCAAGAAAAGCCAACTTTTTAAAACACAGCACGCTAGAGGAATAAAAGCTGCCGCAGGCGAGTGGCAGGTACACGCCACCCCAGATGCCAAGGCCCCACAGGGCTCAGGCCATGTGCAGAAAGAGCCCCCAGGAGAGCATTCCCCAATGCCGACAACCTTGCCTGTGCTGGCAGTGAAGGCTGGAAAATAACGAAACAGGTGCAAATGCGGGGTTCTCTCTGTTGCTGACTAGCTATTTTTAATAGCAAGGTACTTTGGTTAAAATGAATGAAAATGCCCTCTCAGTCCTCCGTCTTCTACCCCTTCCTCAAAACACGGCACCTAAGACCTGAGGATGCCTACGATCCCCCTGAGGTGCATCCTGCTGAGTGGACCGGGTCTGACCTGGAGGCACTATCCCCTCTGTTCTCCAGTAAGTCTCTAAGGAGTCCTTGCTCATGAAGGCCCTGTCACCGCTTGCACAAGTAGCCATCAGCTCAGCACACCCCACTCTGCTGGTAATACCTTGTTTTAAAACACCCAACGGCCAATCCAGGGCAGATGGTCCTTGAGCAGCATCTGGCATGTCCCCAGATGCAAACTCTTGAAAGGGCAGAGGGTCCGTGAAGACCGAGCCACTTCTCTCAAGCTCAAAGCCACCGTGTTTCCCTTGGATGAGGCAGAATTCTGTAATGTGGGAGCAAAGGACAAGCAGGCACAGGGTCAGCTGGGCCTTGCTGGCACACCTCAGGCCCAGCTTTACCTAAGGGGAAGTGGGGGCAGGGGAACATATGCATTCTGACCCCAAAACCCACTTCCTACACGTTATGCTATTAGATGAAATCTCAGCCCCTTCCCACGGTTACAGGAGAAATCATTGTTCTCAAAGCTGTCCAGTGTGTCCTCTCTGAGGAGGTAGGAAGCAATCCTTCAGACATCAGAAGTACTTTCTTAGCCTGACTTGAACAAACTGTTAAATAAAAATTCGATTTTAAAGGGACACCATCTGGGGCCTGTGGTTTTCTTTTTAACAAAAGATCTTACACAACTCACCATATATGTAACCAAAAAATTAAATCCGATTAATAAATTTGACTTGACTGAACTGGTAATAAAGTATTGCTGTTAATATAAGTATATAAGTGGTATGTGGTTGTATTTTTCAAGTCAACTTTTACTCATTAGTAAATAATACACAATGAAAAATGAACTTCTGACTTCCACAATTGTATGAATGAATGTTACAAACATGTTGAGTGAAAAAAGACACAAATGAATACATTCTCCATGAATCTATATGAAGGCAAAACTAGTCTTAAAACAGCCTTACCTTTGGATACACTGAACTATTTAAAGACAGAACAATATAATGCCTATGATTTGTTTTGAAATAATTGAGTGGGGTGGAGTGAGGTGGTAAAGTTACAGATGAGACATGAATCACCCTAGTTAGTAAAGCTAGATGGCAAATACAGGGGAGTTCATATTATTATCTCTGCTTTTGGAAGATGTGTGACATTTTCCACAATAAAAGGTTTTTTAAAATAAATATTTGCTTACATATTTACATATTTAAGAACTCAACTATGTTAATAGTTATTATGTAATAATTACATCCTTAATAAGCCAAAAC